GGCAGACCGTACAAGGTGGTTATGACCCACCTGAAATGCCAGCCAATGCCATCACCTACGTGTCCACAGCTCCTAGAGAAGATTGTTACTGCGCTGTTTCCCCGATAGCCGGTATTCACCTACAAGTTGGAGCAGCTCAACCCTGAAGACATCCCAACTATCACGTTGGATGAGTTGATAGAGGCAGGCAATCGAGTAGGGAATAATAAGGCACCGGGATTGGACGGAATTCCTAATATTGTCCTGAAATCAATCCTTAGGGCAGCACCGACATTATTTCTGGACGTCTACGATACATGCCTGAAGAAAGGGACTTTTCCCCGGAAGTGGAAACAGCAACGGCTAGTGTTACTTCCAAAGGGAAGAAAGCCGCCGGAAGAACCATCATCCTACCGACCACTCTGCATGTTAGACACGGCGGCAAGATATTCGAACGCATAATTTATCAGAGAATAGAGGCTTTAGTCGATCCACTCCTGGCAAAGAACTAGTTTGGTTTCCGAAAAGGACGGTCAACTCTGGATGCGATTAAATTGGTTGTTGATACAGCCAAGGATGCAATTGCTGGAACGAGATGGAAGAGTGGAAAGAAAAAATACTGTTTGGTGGCTGCTTTGGACATCAAGAATGCCTTCAACTCCGCTAATTGGGACTGTGTTATGCGGGCTCTAGAGGAAAAAAGCGTATCAGGATACCTTCGCAGAATAGTAGCGAGCTACTTCATGAATAGGGTCCTGAAATATGACACCAAGACCTGTACGGAAGTGTACGAAATCTCCGGAGGAGTGCCACAGGGATCAGTCTTAGGTCCTCTGCTATGGAACATTATGTATGATGGCCTCCTGAGAATAGCATTGTTCACGGAGGACAAACTTGTAGCATATGCGGATGACGTAGTTGTCGTGATCGTCGCAAAGCACCTCGAAGAGATAGAACTGGCATTTGATATTACATTTAGACGAGTCAATTTGTGGATGGACATGATGAACTTGCAACTTGCCAAGCATAAAACCGAGGCAGTGCTTATCACCAGCAGAAAAACGGTAGAAACTATTAAGTTGAGAGTCGGAGAACAAGAAATAACATCACAACCATTTATTCGTTATCTGGGAGTGATGCTGGATGCACGACTCAACTTCGAGCAGCAGGTGGAACATGTCAGTGCCAAAGCGTTAGTAGTGAGGGCTAGTCTCGCACGGCTGATGCCTAACATCGGAGGCTCAATGCAGAGCAGGAGGCTATTATTGTCATCAGTAGTCACATCAGTGCTTACTTACGGAATATCCATTTGGGCTGATGCACTGGAAACCCCAGAATCATGGAGAAAAGCTGGACCAATATACCGATTGAGTGCCCTACGAGTAGCTAGTGCCTTCCGCACTATATCAGAAGAAGCAGTGTGCGTCATTGCTGGAACCCTACCTCTTAGAATTCTAGCAGAGGAAAGACGGGCCCTTTACCAACGAAAAAGGTCAACTGTACTGAGTCCTGAAGAACTTAGAATTGAAGAACGGCAGAATAGCATAGGCCGATGGCAATTACAATGGGATGCTGCAGAGAAGGGTAGGTGGACGCACCGTCTCATACCTCGGATCGATATTTGGCTTAACCGGAATCACGGTGAGGTCAATTACTATCTTATGTTGCAGATGTTGTCGGGACATGGGTGTTTCCGAGAGTATCTACCCCGCTTCAAGCACGATGACTCTTCAGTGTGCCCGACCTGCCAAGGAGTTGCTGAAGATGCGGAGCAGGTCTTCTTTGTATGTCCTCGTTTCGACCCACAGCGTTAAGAGCTGGAGAGGATCCTGAACCAGAGATTGCAACCGGATTCACTAGTGGAAGCAATGTTGTCATCAGAAGCTGCCTGGAACGCTACCAACACGATTGCAACAGAAGTCCTCAAAGACTTGCGTTCCACCGAAAGAAGAAGAGCAAATAGCAGAAGATAGAAGGAAGGTAGTTAACACCTTAGCCACCAGAAGGAAGAGCAGTAGCTAGATCCTCCCCTCACGAAGTAATGCCTGACGGCGGTTTCCATAAGGGATTAGAGGAAAGAGGAAAAGGGTTTAGGGTTTAGTGGGTAGGGGCGTTAGCGTCGAGTTTTAGTATGACGCTGCGTCGAGTCGCCACATATCCAGGCCAACAACTATGCCTAGAATCCGTAAAAAGGATTCCCCCCCCTAAGGAAAAAAAAAAAAAACAAACACACACACACACACACACACACACACACACACATACATCCATACAGACATAGTGACAACCTCGCGGGGATAGTCAGGGATGCTTCCTGTGACTTTCAAACGTCGAGATCTGATGAAAACTCGATTTTCGCAAAACGGAGTGAAAACAATAACTTCCCGATTTTTGAAAATCTTTGATTTTCTTAGCGGGAAGTTAAAAATCATACTCTATTTTTTTATAATTTTTTTTTGGAAAATCACTTAAATTCTGTGAATTTGAGACTTTAAACTTTTTTTTTGATTATTTACTGCATACGTAACTTACAAAAAACACAAATACATAAATATAAAGGTTAGAAATATCAAATAAATTATTTTTGGGTCCCCGTGTAAAAATAAATCGTATTAAAAAAGTCTTAAAAATGTCGTTTTTTTAACATCTTGATCGTGACAAAAATCAAGACTGTTTTGAGACTCTTTTAAGACATCGAAACCTGATTCCGAGAGCCGATTTTTTGAATTTGGATCTCAAATTCGTTATGAAAATTAATTTTTAGTGACAGAGCTCCGGAAAATTATTATGGACGTCTTTGAAAAATGTTAAAAGGATTTTAAAATGTTCTTTTAAATATCTTAATAAAATTTTCAAAGACTAATTTACCATGAGCTCACTGTGACAGAGCTCTAGAATGTTATTGTGAAGCGTCTTAAAATAGTCTTAAGAAAATCTTCAAATAGTCTTGAGAAAATCTTAAAATTAATTTTAAAATTTTGAACCATATGTATTTTCTGACTCAACTCGTCGAGTTCAGTCGAAATATATCGAAATTTTTCAAAAGTTCCGTCATGAGCACCAATGCAATAGTTAGATTTCTATGAAATCTACTAAAAATGAACTTTTATTATCAAATGTTAAATTTTATCTATGTTTTAGAATATATGTACGTAAACCATCATGTCGTATTAGACGACGGAGAACTGTTCAACGATCACACTTACTGAGAGGATTACCACTATGAATTAGTTCTTGTAATTCATTAAAGAACCAATTTATATTTGGAATCTATACAGGAATCAATTAAATTTTTTATTTGCTTGATTCAAGAAAATGGAAAACTTAAAATTCAAAGTTTTTGATTTCTTACACAAACAGGTGAGTCTATTTGTATAATAACAATTATAATGAGAAGAAAAGTTTAACAAAGTGAATCTAACGATTTATAATACTTTAATTTAAGCCTCAGTCACAAATTCCATCTATGGGTTTGCATCCGGATCTCTTAAATCCACTTGAATCTAATCAACCCGTTAATGAGGAGCTTGATTTTCTTAAAAATCTAGGCAATGAAGTTATTTCGGATGATAAAATACTTGAATCTATCGAATCAGTTTATTTTCAAATTGATGACTCATTTGATCCGTGTAGACATGAACTTAATAAAATTTTGTATCGTCCTAATTGCAAGCAAATTGAAAAATTCAATCAACAATTCAATCAACAACAATATGTGGTTTCTAAAAAAGTACTTCAACTAATCTTACAAAAACAAAGTACATGTAATCAACAATTTCATGAAGTCTTAAGTATACATAATGAATTGCACAATCTTATTACAACATGTAAAGTGGGCAGATTAAGTCTTCATTCGGCTACAATAAAATTTACGATAGCAAGTCTTGGCATCCTCGCTAATTACAAACGACGTCAAACCATTGAGAAACTTATGTATAGCTTCAACTCGATAAAAACTTTGGTAATTATGACTTTACTACTCATTAAATTGGATTAACCTTTCCACAATAATACAACGAATGTGTTTCATGTAATTTTTCTCTTTATTTTAGCGACGTACAGAAGATCTTCTGCAAGATTTATTACATGATGGGAATTTCCCAGGAGCAATATCTCTTTTACTTGATTGTCGGAGTGTAGCAGAAACATATAAACATTTTTACTGTATTGCAGCCTTAAACAAAAAGCTGCAGGATACACTAGAACAAGTTGAAGAGACTTTAGATTCTAATTTAACCAAAATTTGCGAACATTTTGATGAACAGATATATTCATCAATTCAAGAAGCATATCAGTTGTTAGGCAAAACTCAAATGGCTATAGATCAGTTGCATATGCATTATACAGTTACGATTCATAATACTGCTTTTGATATTGTTTATTCTTATGTAGGTGGCAATGTAAAGAGACAATTTAAACAAATATGTGAATCGATATCAAATGAAAATTTTATTATCTGCTTAATTGATTTGAGTAAAACTTTATGGAAAATAATTCATTCATATTATCAAGTACTCAATTGGCATGGAGCTTGTGGCAAATACATCGTAGAACAAGACGAAAAATCGAATAAAAACGTTTACAACAAACAATATGTACAACAGAAATTAGAAACAGGTATCGTGAAAATATGGCACGATATTGAGATCAAAATTTCAACATATTTAATGAGTACTAACGTCACTTGCTTTAAATTCGAACAATTTGTTCGAATTTTAAGTATCATTAACAGGTAAATCAATTTTTCATAATCCTAAAATATTAATACGAAGTTTTGAGGATAAGGTAAAGGCACCGCATATTGACGAAGGTCCCATTATTGACGCATTCTCTTGTTTTATAATTTATCAAAGCAACTAGTATATTGTTGATAACCGGATGCATTTTTTAGCAATCTTCATCATACGAGAAAACGGGATTAAATTTTTTCCTTGAAAGAACATAGATATTTATCGATTAAAAACATAAAGTTTATTCGAGCTTACAAAAACATCTTTCGTCCATGTAGTTTCTAAACAATATACATAAATAATAGACAGCGAAGCAGCTTTCGAGACTACGATTCGTAATTTTTTAACTTCCCGCTAAGAAAATCGAAGATTTTCAAATATCGGGAAATTATTGTTTTTGACCCATTTTGCAAAAATCGAGTTTTCATCAGATCTCGACGTTTTAAGGTCACACGCAGCTTCCCTGACTACCCCCGCGATGGTGGCTGTATGTCTGTGTGTATGTGTGTGTATGTGTGTGTGTGTGTTCTTATAGAGAAGTGAAAAATTCTTCCAAAGACACTGCTATCATTGAAAGATGATGGTCGGTAGTGTGGGATTTTTACCCACGAAAAAAAACTCCTCTCTCTTCCCCCGTGGATGGTACGGAGATGACTGAATCGGAACCGCGTAAGCATTACTTCAATCCAGTCCATATTGCGTCTCGCGACGCCTACTCCTGGTTACTGGTTCCTTTCTGCGGTTTTTGCTTTTAGAAGGCGCTGCGCGTAAGATGCAACAGCTGACCAATTATCTTCTTTTCTGATCATGCAGGCTATCAAGCTCTTGGGGGAGAGCGTGGTGCCAATTGTTTCTTCGGTGCTGTTCCTGTAGTCCTTCTACTGATCAGACTCGAAGAACGTGTGCTTGGCGTTATCAATTTTGTCTGGGCAGTATTTGCACCTTGGTGTGCTGTGCAGACCCATCTTGAAAAGATAGGCATTGAACTGCCCATGTCCCGTCAATAGCTGGGTCAAGAAAAAGTCCGTTTCTGCGTGCTTCCAAGAAAGCCAGGCGTTCATGTTTAGAATCAGGCGTGCCGTCCATTTGCCTGTTTCCCCGGTTGTCCATCGGTTCTGCCACTCATGGAGCGTTACCGTCATTATCGTTGCTCTTGCCTTCTTAGAGTTGTCGGCATTCATTTTTGCGTCGTAGATTTTCACCCTCTCGAATGCTAGTAAGTCGATTGGCGCGGCTCCTGCTATGGCCAATACGGCCGCTTCTGAGACCATGCGGTAGGCACACGGTGACTTTAAGCGCTCCTCGTCGTTGCACTGCCGCTATCTTATGCCGGTAGGTCTTCTGTTTAAGGATATCTGCCCATATCTCTGCTCCGTAGAGTAATATCGAGTGGACTACGTCTAGAAGCACCCTCCTTTTTCTGGTTCGTGGTCCCACCGTGGTGGTCATGATTCTCGACAGGCTTGATACTGTCTTGTAAGCTTTCGCGCAATCGTTTTCGAGGTATTCTTAGAAAGACAGCTTTTCGGCGATCACTATTCCTAAATAGCGCAGTGCCTTTGTAGATGTCAGTGTTGTCCCGCCCATGTAGATGACGAAAGGTTTTGGAAAGCATTTTTGACGTGTTAAAACGACCATTTCGGTTTTCTGCTTGGCGAAATTTAGACGATGTTTCTTAAGCCAATTTTCAACGGCATCAATGGTTTCCCGAAACAGTAGTTCTGCCTCCTCGGCACTGTCTACTAATATCGTAGCTGCGATGTCGTCCGCGAAGCCCGTGAGTTGCACTTGTTTTGGCAGCGGGATTTCCAGGAGTTCGTCATAGTCCGCGTTCCACAGGTCGTGCCCTACGATGGAACCTTGCGGCACGCCAGCCGTTATGTAATGTTCTTGTAGGCTTTCTGTCGTTTCTGCTATTAGATTTTCTGGCTTCACGTTGAATTTGTGCTCCAAGGCATCTAGGATGTCACCCCAATTTACGCTGTTGAAGGCTTTTTTGATGTCTCGTGTGCCAAGCATGGGTTGTAGGTGTTCAGGAGTATGTCTGAGCATTTCAGGGCTGATATTCGGCATCTTGATCATCGATGCCGGGATGCCATCAGGGCTAGGTGCCTTTCCTCTCTTGAGTAACTTAGCCGCGTCTTGTAGTTCCTTAATCGTAAAGGGTGTTACTTCACCGTTTTTAGCGTAGTGTTTCTTCTCCCGTGGCGGTCGTTTGGGGAAATGCTCCCCTACAATGCTTTCCATTAAGGCAGGAGCCTTCGGCGCTTCTGGTGAAGCCTTTCCAAGTCATTTGGCGTCAATTTGGTATGCTTTAACCCAGATGTCCTTGTCGAGATCATTGCAGATCTCTTTCCACACCCTCGCTTTACTTGCTTTGATGGCTCGGTTTAACATCTTTTTGGCCTGCTTGTACTCGTTCGAATATAAGTCCTGGTTCGGGGAGCGTTTCACAGCTCTCGTTGCGCGGCAACGTGAGCAACGCAAGTTCTGATGCCAGAAATATGGCATAGACCATCTTGGGCATTTTCGTCCGGAGTACAAAGGAAGCATTTTAGCTTCTCTGTGCAGTTTAGCTTCTCTGGGCAGTTTAGAGACTTGTGGTTCTCTCCGCCACATTTGTAGCAGCACCTGCTTCTTTCTGGTCTCGCATACTGACGTGTTTGGTGTCCAAAACCAAGACATTTAAAGCAGCGGGTTACTTTTGCAACTGGGCGTATACGGAAGTTAACCTAACCGATCTATATACGGGCCTTATCAAGGGCCTTAATCGCACTGGCCTTGTTTACCTCGCAGAAGGTTGCCCGATTGTCTCATGGTGTGGATTTTGTCAGATTTACCTGTTTGATCTCCAGGCTGTTAGTGAATTCACGTTTAAGTGCTTCACGGACTTCGCTCTCGTTAGAGACTTCATCCAAATCAAGAATCTCGATCGTTGTTATTGGTGTTGGCGTCTTGTTGGCGACTTTATGTCTACACCAGTCTCGACAGGGTTTACCTTGGGTTTACCTTCTGGCGCAAATAATTCAAATACGGACCATACTTTTGATATGCAGCACTCGAATTCCTTTCCGCTGTATTGCGCGACGATGGGATTGAAGAGATTCCATAATATTCTGCTTTTTTTGAGATTCGACGATAGAAATACTCGAAGTCAACGTAAAAAAGAAGACAAGGCAGCTCCAATTCTTGATGTGGGGAAAAAGTTGAATTCAAATTTAGCTTAGATATACAAACCAACTGCAAACTTGACAATTGATGGACGGCTCTATCTATACCGTGGCCGTACTGGATTAACCCAATATATACCAGCTATCCATCGAAACCAGCTAAGTATGGTATAAATACCTGGTGGATTTGTGATGCGGAAAACACATATTCTTTGCAAGGGATTATGTACACTGGTAAAACAGATAACACTCGGGAAAAAAATCACGGTGAAAGACTAGTGAAAGAATTGACGGCTCCGTACCAAAGTAGTGGTAGGAACGTTTGCATGGATAACTTCTTCACTACTCTACCCGTCGCTAAACATTTGTTATCGTGGAATATTACCATTGTTGGCACGGGGGAAAAATGAACCTTACATGCCTAGTGTTATGAGAGCAAATAAGACACCGGAGCAGTATTTGACAGATTTTGGATTTCACGAAAAGGTTAACATGTGTTCTCATGTTCCTAAAAAAAATAAAGCTGTCATTCTGTTATCTACAATGCATTCAGATGCATCAGTTGGTGATGACGCTAAAAAAAAACCAGAAATGAGAAATTTTTATCATAGATTTAAAGTTGGCGTTGACAAAATGGATCAAATGGTCCGGAGGTACACAAGTCAACGACGATTTTCGAGATGGCGAATGGCATTGTTCTTTAACATGCTAGACATCTCTTCACTTGCATCATGTATAATTGATTACGAAAATAATAAAATGATTGCCAAAAAAACGATTGAACGTCGTTAATTTATGCAGAAGCTAAGTAAAGAGCTAGCATTGCCGATGATTGAACACCGCACGGCGAATCTGAAAGAAATGCGTCACTTCTTAACAAAGATTGCTGTTGAAGTTATTTCAGGTCATGCACTAGCAGAAACAATCGAGATAAATACTGGTCCAGTGGTTCTAAAAGATAAAAACGTAAGGAAAAAAGTGATAGGATCTTGTCATGTGTGTAATGCCTTGCCAATCAAAAGACGGCAAAAGATTCGTAAGAGCTGTGCCAATTGTCACCGGCCAGTATCTGTCGAGCACTTAATTAATCTCATACAATGTGTAAAATATTAGATTAAATGTCATCAATTATAAAAAAATGTAATGTCTTTATATTTTTTGATAAAATTTAGTTGCATCTATTTATAGAAACGATTTTAATTTAATTTCTGTACTTTCTACTGTAAGTACCCGGATACCTGGTTGCTAATGGGACGATGGGTTTAAACTTATTTAATACAAAATTAGGAAAACGTTTGACCCTAAAAACCACCTCTGCAACTTCCTGCTAATTCCATACCTAGGCGCTTAAAATTGCACTTATGATGTTTCTAAGTTTTTCAAGCTCAAAAATACAATTTATGTGTTATTTTGAGCTCTTCGAGCTCAAAAAGATAGCTTTTCTATACTTTTGAGCTCTTCGAGCTCAAAAGTCTGATAGTACTTTCATGGCACACTATTTTTTGAATTTTTAAACCGCAAGAACTTTTGAATGAATCAACTGATTTTCACGTGGTTGGCAGCATTCGACGCAGTTTTTTCAGCCGCATGAAGAATTTTCAGAATTTTGAATTGATGAAACTAGGAAATACGGAGTAATTCCGAAAATAGTATTATTACACACCGAGGGAAGTAAAGTAAGAAATGTCTCAGATCACATGTAATTGTTGGCCGAGGCGAAGCCAAGGTCAACAAACATGTGGTCTGAGGCTTTCTTATTTACTTCCCGAGGAGTGTATGCTATTTTTTTGCTCGACGAAGGCAGAAAGTGGCAATTTCGTTTAGCGCAGCGGGCCGAAATTTGACGCTTTCTGCCCGTCGAGCAAAAAAACTTTTTTTCGGTTTTCTTTCCTTCACTATATCTTTTGAACGAATTGACCGGCTTAACGGCGATCGACGTAGCTTTTTAATGTAATAGCTGATTAATTTTGGAAATTAATCAGTAAACTCGTTCAAAAGTTATTCTAAAGAACGTTGGTTATGTTAAAAAAACCCTTGTTTCCAAATATATCGTCGACGATATGTCTCGAATCAATCAACCGATTTTTTACATTCTTGGCGTCGATCGACGCGGTTTTTTGAGTTCTAAAAAATATTCTATTTCATCAAAAACGATCCGAGAAGAAATGTCGAAGTTATGTAAAAAAAACACTTTTTTCGGTTTTCTTTCGTTCACGATATCTCTCGAAAGAATCAACCGATTTCGACCAGCTTGGTAGCGATCGACGTGGCTTTTCGATGTTAAAAGCTGGTTACGTTTTGGAATTGATCGATAAAGCCGTTTAAATGTTATTCTAAAAAATGTCGGAGTTATGTTAAAAAAACACTTGTTTCCAAATATTTCATCGACGATATGTCTTGAACCAATCAACCGATTTTCACATTCTTGGCGTTGATCGACGCGGTTTTTTGAGTTCTAAAAATTATTCTATTTCATCAAAGACGATCCGAGAAGAAATCTCGAAGTTATGTAAAAAAAAAGTGAACCGTCATGGGACGCCTGGCAGATGTGAAACATCGTGTGTGTACAAGTAATATGCATAGAAGATAATATTATCACAGGAATTAAATATAGCCTAATGAAAAAATGAAGTATTACGAATTTCTTACAGAAAATGGTAACTTTATTTAATAAACATTTATTTACATGTGATATAAAAATTCGATATTAATATCAAGTGGCCACAATTTAAATATTTTCATCTGTGACTTCAGTAATAGTTATATTCGATGTTTCCTCTGCCGGTATTACTGTGACGATTGGTCGATGATAACTCAAGTACGTTACAAAAGTATTGGATGAAACATTATCAAGATATCTCACAAATACAGCATCTATTGTTGTTCCATATTTGGTAGTAGATTCTCTTGGATTGTTGTTGATTTGCAATTGAAATTCTTTTTGAAGAAATGTAATTAATGGCATTGATTCAGCTCTTGCAAAATTGACATTAAAATCTCCAGCTAAAATTAATGGTAATTTATGTTTATTCGTTTTAAAAATTATTGAACCTCTTTGACTATAAGGAAATAAACTTTCATGTAAAAATGAAATTATATGATCCATTCTGTTATTAGGTGAAATGTATACTACAATCATAATTAATTCACTTCACAAGCATGTCCAAATTCATTATTTTTAAAGTTATCGATGAAATATTCATGAGCTGTTTTATGGTATCTAAATTGACTGTAGTTATTCAAAATTTCCGCAATATTTGCACTTTTATGATTATTGGTTCTATAATTATTTCTCTATTTTCTATATTTGGAGAAGTATGTAATTCTATAATACTTTCTGCATTCTGTAGACGTCTCCTTCTTTCCGCTTCACGCTGACTCAATTTTTCTCTGTTCTTTTCCCTGTATCTGTATTGTCGGTCTCTTTTATTTTGAAGAGTAGATGAAATAGCAATTACTGGTTTTTCATTATTTACTTCCATTATATTTGAGTTTGAAGAGGTAGACGGTCCGATAATGCTTTGTGAAGATTGTATACGCTTTCTTCTTTCCGCTTCACGATGTTTCAATTTTTCTCTGTTCCGCTCCCTGTATTGTTTTTGACGTTTTCTTTTACTATTGTATACTCTGAAAAAAAAATATAAATATGTTAATAAAATCTAAGATAAAAATTAAAATAGTCTGGTACTATTCGATTAATAAAGTCTTACACAACCCGAGTTGAAAAAATTATCTTATATGAACTTAACTACTATACTAAAACAATTGATTTAAGCTCATGTAAGTTCATTTTTTCGACTCGGGAACATTGATAGTATGCCTTGTGTTTAACTGATCAGGGTAGCGTCCAGTTTCAACAATAATATTTTGTGATCCTTGTGATGATTGTTGGGAACTGAAATATTTAAAAAAATCTGATATTAAAATACACAAGAAAAAGAAAAAAAATTTTGAGTGTGGCTTCAATATACTCATGAACTCAAATCTTAGTTAATTATTGCAATATATGACTAAAGATTTGCAAATATAAATTTTATTAATAAATTTTTCCATATTAATTCGTTCATGAATAATAAAAAAATAATTAATTGAAGATAATATTAATAAAATTTATATAATTATTAATCTTAATATAATTTATATAATTACTAATAAGATTAATATGAATATAATTAATTAAATATAAAAATATAATAATTACATTTATGGACACTTGAAAAATACGATCTACTTACTGATGACTTGGTAGTATGCCATAGTGTAGTTTCACTTTCTTTGCACAAGGTTGATCACTTGGACCTTCTGAGTTATCATTATCACACATATTTTATTGTCAAAAATTAAAATAAAAATGTTTCACATCAAAATTAAATAAAACGCAGGTTATGTGTACCGTAGTAAACAACAACGTCGAACTGAGTGAGAAGCCACACCGTACACTCTACTACATATAATATATATATATATATATATATATATATATATATATATATATATATATATATATATATG